GTGTGTGTGTGTGTGTGTGTGTGTGTGTTACTGAGGAATGAACCCAGGGCCTGTACATACTAAGCAAGTGCTCTATTATTGAGCTACACCACAGCCCTTTATTTTATTTTGAGACAGGGTCTCACTAAGTTTCCCAGGCTTGCATTGAAATTGTGATCCTCCAGTTTCAGCCTTTCAAGTGGGTGGGAGTACAGGCATGTGCAACCCACCCAGTTGGGATATTGTGTTTTTATTCAATGGGTAAATGTTCAGTTGACAACATTCCACTCCTTACCAGCATTGTCATCTCCAATGTCACTCTTATCTCAGTGAATGGGACAGTCATTCATCATACAATCTCTCAAGCATGAGGCTTGGTAGCTTTCCCTTTGGATTATTCTCTGTCTTACTCAGAAACACAATAAATCTAAATGCCAATTGTCACTCATCACCACTACTAGGGGGAGGATTAGTGCTAGGGATTGATATAGGACCTCACGCATAAGCATGCCCTCTAATAATGATCTTCCCTAACAGTCCCCTCAACATCACTATTGTCAATCCTCTCCTTGAGTCAAAACCACCAATGCAACCAACTCAGATTTCTTATCTGAATTGATATAACAAAAGCTCCATCTCATCTCAAATCTTCTAGTTGTTTTTCAAATGTGCCACTCCTTGCTTAATTTCTCTAAAATTAACTTTAGTTTCTTACTCACTGACATCAGGAAAATGCTGAACTTCTCATATTTCTGATCAGATCCTTCACCACCTCTGCAGATAGATTAGTTCTAGACTGATGACTAAAAATTATCCTTCGGACTGTTATGCTCCAATTGCAGACTGAACTAAGCCTTTGTGTTACTGCTTCCTCTCCTTATAATAGTACCTTTCTTCTTGCATCTATCTGTTTGGCTAACTAATACTCATCTGTTGGGTTGCAGCACAGATGCCACTTTATCTTCAGATCAACTTCTGACCCAATCAATTTAGGTAGATAATACCTCCATGTGCTCCATAGTACACTGTTTTATGCACAAGCAGAATTGTGTGGGCCCTTGGCCATAGAATGTCTGGAGCACAGTAATTAGATAAGGAAAATTCACTTTCACCCAATGGGGATTAAATTCTCTTCCTTGAAAATCTGAGCTAAGACGCAAGAATGCAAGTGCCATTTAGTGGTTGGTTTTGTGACTTAGAGAAATGGTGTACAATTGGAGATTAAAATCACTTATAATTACAGTGAGCAAAAAAAGCTTTTGGAAAGAACAGAAGAACTAGTACCTTAGGAGGGGAGGAAAACTCCCCTTAAGTTATTTCTTGATCACTAAAGTCTAAGTACTTGAGTCCTGACACTTCTGTAAGAATATGTATTCTCAAAACATTATTCTTATATTTAGCACCCTTTCAAACACACACACACACACACACACACACACAAAAAAAAAAAAAGTCTGTCTTAATTTTTTTTTTTCTATGATGAAGAACTGTTCTTGTCTGGGTGCAGATAGGAGGTATCCTCTAGCATGCATTCAACACACTTGCACTCTTCTTTTGTCTGTTCCAGGAGACTCACTGAGAGATCAAAGTTGGGTAGTTCTTCATCTTTGTCTTCCTGGGACTTACTGTAGTACCCAGCATGCATTTGTACTCAAACAAATGTTGGAAAAATAAATGAGTAGAAAAGTGAATGAGAAACCTCCAATATTCAGTAATATGGGCTACTTTTAAAGGATGATTTTGTTCAAAATCAATTTAAAAATTAAATAGCATTTACTCCTTCTTTACCATCATCATAGAAGCTGTCCCACCTATTAATATGAAAACATAAGAGTGTGGGGGATGGGGTCAGTAAGGTAGAGTTGATGTAATTTTTCAAAATGACTGATAGAATACACAGCAAAAAGTGAACTTTAAAATGAGCCCAGGTAGAGTTTTTAAGACATCCTGTAAGGCCAGAAATGCTTTTTCTGCTTTTTAGGAGAAAACATGAAGGAATATGGCATATTGTATGTGTGGCTTGCAGGAGGATTGTTTGTAGATCCTCTCAATGAACTTTCTAAGCACCTACATGAAAATCACAAACAAACCAAAGAATACAATGAATAAAAGTACATTAACATTCTTTAACTTCTTGGGAAGCTCCATATCTAGTCTTTATCTGGGCAATCTGCCCTCAGACTTCCTTCTACCTTAATATACTCCAGAGAAACCCGACCTTGGAGAACCATTTTTTTTTTAATTCTTTATGCTTGGCTGCTGTACCATGAAGCTCTAATTTCTATGAATCCAAACACTCATTTACTCTCAAGTAATGTTAGCTCTCAAGGGTCAAATGAATTTTTAAAAAATTCACAGTGTAATTCCAAAGCAATAAAAGAGGTTTTTTTTTTTGTTTGTTTGTTTTTTATTCTTATGGCTATTTTTGTTGGATCTATAATGTGATTGTTTGGCCATCTATACAAAAACCCAGGTTAATATTCAAAGGCAAAGTCACTTTTAAATCACAGATTTTAATTACATTAATATCACCCTTTGCTATTTGTACTTATTTTATGTTTTAATTCTTACAATAGCTTTGTTCTAATAACAGGCTGTTGTTTTTGTTTTAAATAATAATAAATGTTGAGAAGGTAAGGAAGGAAGGGAGGAAATTTGAGATGACATTTTTCATTTGAATTTTTCTGTGTCTTCTCAACTTAAATAGCTCAAGATAATGTGAATCTCATACTTCTATTACATTTTTAATACCTGTCCAAGCTAGCTCTGTGTACCATCCTCCAAATCTGAAAATATCATGCCCCAGTTCTATATACTTATTCTTCTTTTTTCTTTCTATGAGGAGCCCTCTCAACTGACCTTCAGTCAATTTCTCTCACTGATAAAATTACTTTTGTGCAACAGCAACTTTCTGAAAGCATCACCTCATCATAACAGACATGATTCCGTAAGCTCCTTTTATATAGCACATAACATTTAGCTTAGTCTTCATTTATGATATCCCATGAAAACTGCCTTGCACCCTCACTTTCATATATCTTAAGCAGAATATAATTCAATTTGCCTATTTGATAGTAAATTTAAAAAACATGGTTTAATCTCACCATTATATTGTAAGTGGCCACATATAATCATGGCCAAGACCAAAGATTAGATGTATAGAAAAATCTTACTAAATTGGGGAATGGGAGACTGGAGCTTAAGTCAGTGGTAGAATGCTTGCCCAGCAAGAATAAGGCCCTCATTTAAATTCCTGGAGCTGTAAAAATAATTAATATTGAAATTTAAAAATTAGGGAATATTTAAATTCAGTCAACTTCTCAATAAGAGTTTTAGAAAACAATATTCTAACTGAATGATATTCTAATTTTTTTTAGAAACAGAATTGCTAGCAGTTGTGTGTGTGTGTGTATATATGTGTACGTGTGCATGCGTACGCATGCATGCATATACACACACTAGTAGCTGATTTAAACATATATAAGATCTATTTATAAAAAGTAAACATCACTTCTGGATTTCTTCTTCATTTGTGAAAAAAAGAATTTCTTGTGAATATATATTCATTGGAGTCAGTTAAATATAATTACTAATATTAATATTTTATAATATAAATCAAAATACAAGATTATGATGAAAACTTGGTGACTATTGAACCACATTCTGGGGAAAAAATATAGCTGTTTTCAATTTAGAGAATGTCAGGTTTGAAAAGGCATTGTAAAGCAAAGCAGAAAGCAGAAGTGGAATTCTTAAGAAATATTTATTACACAAAGCCTTTGAATTTTCAAAATGTGTTGGGTCCTTCCATGTGTTTCTATGCAAGTTAATGCAACTGTGTGGCACTTGGTTGCATGTCACCCTACCACTCCTCAACCATCACCACCAAGGAAGAATTTCTAATCTAAAGAGAGTCTAGATCATGGATAGAACAGTGAGTGAATGGATGAAGCTGTTGAGTGCCAATTTACCAGCCTACTTACTCCTTTCAATGTGCTGCTGTAATTGAAGAGTTGTGTTTCCTTCTCACAGGTCACTAAAATCTGAAGTGGTTTCATGGTCCACATCCCATAGTCCCTGAATTGAAACAAAGTATTCTAATTCCATAAGGAAGTTTAGAAGAAGAACTCAGGAATCACAATGATGCTTCATGTTCCTTTGCCATTATTTCTTGTATGCTATCCCCTTCAGCAAATCACTAGATAGAAAAGGTGATTGTGTTTGGTGATAAGACTTGATATTCACTGTTCCCAGCCAAATGCTTCCCAGTGTTTTTCATGCTGTGGCACACAAATAAAATGATAAAGTTTATATTCCCTGTGAGAAATTACATGGATATGAGTGCCTGCAAGTAGTTTTGTGGAAGAAAAAAGAAAAATTGTAATTTCTAAATATTATGTAAAATGAAACGTAAATTATTGGGGGAAAAGAGTAAGTATTATGTGCAAAACACTCCTCACTAGAATTTCAAAGTCTGGATGTCATTCAATGTACTCAACAGCTGCAGAAGCAATATTAAGTACATTCCTACATTTTAATAAGAATTTTAGGTTGCTTCTATAATAACCACTTTTCTATTAAGTTAGTTATGCTTTAAATTATTATACATAATTTCTAACCAAGATGTTTTCATCATAATCCTTTCAATGTCTTGTTAGTTTCCTTTGATGAGATTTTTTTCAAACAAGCCCATGATCAGAAATGTTAAAGCTTATCTTTTACAGCCTTTCAAATTTTACAATAGTTGAAACTGTCACTAAACTTCTTGTGATAATGAAAAAATATTTTAAATCCAATAAAAATGGCAATATTTCAAAATAAGAATGAGGCTCTAATGTACAACAGGCATGCACTGTTAAAATAGCTGGCTAGGATACCAAGAATGGGCAACATCAGCCATGAATGAATGCAGATGGTAAATACATAAGACCACACATTTAGGTCACAGCCTGGGGGAACTAAGCCTTCCAGGAGCGACTGCCCAGCCACCCCCAGCCCTCTCTCCCCACCGCTGGCCGCACCTTGGGCTGCAATCTGTGCTCCTTGGGCACCTGGACCACGAACTCCTCTGGCAGCTCCACGAGGCCCTTGTCCACGATGAGCAGTAGCACGCTCCGCAGAAGGCTGCTGAAGGAGATGTCTGGGTGGTAGAGCGCCTCCTGGGCTGCGCTCAGCATGTCGCAGTGCAGCAGCAAGGGCTGGATGTCTCTCACTGTGCTTGCCACCTGCGGGGACCGCAGGGCGCACCATCAGACCTGGCTCAGCTCAGGCCAGCCTTAGAGGAGCCCTGGTAGTGGCTATCCCCAAGGCAGCTCTCAGCTGCAGGCTCCTGCCAGGACTCCAGCCACCCAAGGCCCCTCTCTGACAGCCCTGGAGCTAAGGCAATCACATCATGGCCTCTAGGGTAAAACTTTTCTAGTTAAACACTATTTTAATTAAGACAAAAATTCTCATATTAATCTCTAACAAAGACAGAAAATTGAACATAAAGATTAAAAGCAGAGTACACTACCTGAAATATAAATGTTATTTATATTTTTATAGTTTCAGAGCGTTTTGATATATATTATGAGCACTAATATCTATGTAAGTGTAAGTAAAATTATTAGTAACTGAATTCAATTTTTACACACTCAAAAGAAGGCTTGATAAGGGGCAAAAATGTTTCAAAATGTGCTTTTTGTTTATTTGGTTTTGTTTGTGTATGTTTACACTTAAATGGATTGTTTTATATTTATTTATTATGTTTTTCAGGTCACTTAACTAAAATTTTTGAAATATATTATTTTAAGAGTTATGAAGGACATTAAAGTAAAAAAAGATATACATACATATTTACCAGTTATATACACAATGATTTTTACTGACAAATGGTACATATTACATAAATGAATAAATATGGAAGACCATGACAATAATGAGAAAATAAAATTTTACACATGATTTTTATAAATAATTCACAAACAGTCATATATTTAATGCTATGAAAACTGAAACTATTTAAGTACAGGGTTTCTTTCTGGCAAATTGATATACAAAATATACATTTCTCTACACTATTTGTAATTAATTTAATGAGTAAAATGTACCTACCAATGGAAGATAAAGGATTTTACAAAGAAAACTATTTTATTCTACGCAAATATTTCTAAGATATTATAACATGTATATTTAAAACCACATTAATAAAGCTTCATCACTAACATTTAACAGTCAGAAGAGAAACTAAGAAAATCAATAATGTAAGAGAATTTATGATCATTGTTCTAACAACACAAGTTCATGCAGTGATTCTATAATGTCTTGATATTTATATTTACAAATTAAGAATAAAAACATATCCCTTCAAATCACATGAAATGACACAGCTTTATTGAAAAAAAGTATTAAGAATTTTGTTACACAACACATTTATGATGGAAAACTTTATAATGTAAGTCTGAGATACTGCCCTGAAACAACTTTATAAATTTAAATTCATGGTATGGTTACTAATATATCCATTGCATTGGCAATCTGAATGACAGCTTGACAGCCTATGTGAAAGAAAAGGAATCAAAGAAAACCAAGTTTCAAGACCAAAAAAAGTTATGAAAATTGAAATCTCTAAGTAATACCTTTCTTTGACATTTCATTCTAGTAGTTTCTTTCATGTTTCATTCAATGGTATCTTTTCTAATTTTTTTTTTAACTTCTAGAGTATCCCTTTCCTAACTGCCCAAAAAGACCGTGTAGCATTTTAAAACTATTTTTACATGAATACTTACAGGCAGGTTTCCCCTAAAATTTTAAGATCTTTATGGAAAGTAATTAGTGAAAGTGAATTAGAATATTACTGCAAAAGGTTCAGTTACAATTTCGTTGAAAGAATTAACTCTCAGCCAAGTTAACTTACATGCACATTTGGAGTGATGGAGCATGTGCTTATGTGTTTATTCATTCAATAAATATTTACTAAATTCCATTGTGGTAGGTCCTCTTCTAGCTGCTGAAGAGTTTGGTAAACAAAATAAACTACATACCTACCTTAATGAATTACACATCTGGTGGGGGAGACAGACAATGAATAAATACAGATAAATAATAAAAATACCATATAGATACGATAATAATCTTCAGAAAATGTCAGGAAAGTAATATACAAAGGCTACTATATTTGGGTTTTTAAGGAAGACTTAATCTATGGGGATAAAATTAAAGCTGAGATTTCAGTGAAATTCAAAATTTCTAGCCAAACAAAAATCAAAAGAGCACTGCAGTCTATGCAAAGGTCTCCAAGATGGAAACACACAGGTCTGTTCAAGAAATAGTACAAAGGACAATATGGAGAGGCATAGTGGTTAAAGAGAATAGTCTGAAATAAGGTTGGAGCAAGCAACAGCCAGATTATTTGATCTATAAGGCAGACTCGAGAATTTAGTGTTTAAAACATCTGTTTTAGGACACTTAATAAAACTCTAAGGAAGAAAGCGTAGGTAGTACATGATAGGGAAAGACATAAAAAGGAATAATAATTTCCATTGAACTAGAGATAACTATTTCCAGGAAAGGTCAATTTTTAGAATAAGCAGACAATGACAATAGAGTTAAAATGCATCTACAATAGACTTAAGCATCAGCTGGCAAATACAAACGTGTCTGTATTTAAATGAAGGAAACTTAGCATCCAGAAGAAATAACAACATGCTCTAGATAGAACTAGAAAGCAAACTCCAGAAAGAATGTTTATATCATGGAATAAAATAATTTCATGGAGGGAGATGGAAGCACACAAAATACCAGGAAGTTGAGTAAACTTATAAATTGGACTCTGACAAGTTCTATGAAAAGTGCTCTAAAACATTGTTTGTGTCTACAGATTTTATTCACTTAAATTCACCAATAATATGAAAGAAACCCAGAGGCACTGGTTTTTGACTGCCAGAACAGGAGGGACTGTCTACAGGGACTAGGGCTGTTAGAGCCTCAAATCTTAACTTCCATTTAAAAAATTCTTGCATATGCTTCTGTTAAGGTATTGTATGACTCCTGGGGAAACATTTATTTTGTCTTTCTGGAACTATTATAAAAATAGCTTCAACAAAACTCTTCAAGATAAATATCACATTTAAAAATATGGTATTCCGTGAGAAATATGTAATTTCAGAGCTGGAAAGATTCTTCTGGCTCCCATACTAGATAATAACCCCTAAAAATTCCTGTTAAAAAGATACCCAAACTTCTTGTGAAGAGGCTGTGATCAGAAGGATAGATACTTTGGCTATGACTTCATTTGAAGCAGCATATTTCCTCATGTCAAGAAAGGTGATAACTATGTGTGCCAAGTTCTTTGTTACCATTACTGTGATTGTTAATATATTCGCCCCACTGAATGTCACTTGTCACCTAATTTACATGTGCTTGTTGCTTCCTGGGCTCTCAGGTGCTTGATAATCACCTGCTGACCAAAGTTCCTATTGATTCTAAATTTTGGGGGGCCATAGAGTTCCACTCATGCATGCTTTTCCCTTTTGCCTAAGTCAGAATTTACCTGTGAAAGTTACTGACAATTACTGGGATTATGGTTTAATGCCTAAGGATCAGTAACAGCTTTTAATATTGTAGGCAAAATTGTTTTGTTGGTACAGAGGTCTTCTAGGGGGAAGACCCCAATCTTCAGATTCTCTGGTAATTCCATTACCAAAAAAAGACTCAGGAATAGGATCTGTTTTAATTTTCTGTTTCATTCTATAAATGAATCTTGTGTGTGTGTTATGAAAAGTGTCGAAATCAAAGTGAATTAGCTTGCATCAACCCTAACAAAAAAATAAAGCCACGAGGTTGTGAAGGAAAAATAAAACAGAAAATAAAGGTTATATCTATTCTCTAGCATTTCCCACCTACTTGTCTAAATTCTGTATGTGGCCTACAAAAACAAATCACACTTCTCCTGGAGAGTACTTTTCTTCAGATATCTGAAGAAAGACTTCACATACTAGGTATCTTTCTTCTCCAGACCTTTAAAGAAAAGTATTTTTTTTCAAACAATGAAAAACATACCCAGCATGTGGCATTTACTATAATTTGGAAGCAATGCTTCCTGTCATTTTCTCCCTCCCATCTCCATGTGAGACCAGTTTCAAACCCTGTTGTACAGAGTTTTTTAATGTGTTCAAGGTAATTTTGGTTCTGGAACAGGAAGTGATAATAAAGCCAATGTGTCTGGTTGTTTCTTTGTGCCCTTCTTCATAGGGAAACTTCATTCATGCTATAAGAATTGAATATCTAATAAAGATTTCATTTGAATAGATTGGGGAATGTACTTTTTAAAATTGGAATTGCCTTAATCATAGAGAATGTTCAGTTCTCACTACAGGTAATATGAATTATTGTTATATCCATATCTTCCACACAATCAATCCGTACTGAGAAATTTTTATAGTTAAAACAACTTCATTTTGCTTTCCTAATGGGCAAGTGCATGAAATATGAAAAGTATTATTTAATAAGTAACTGAATTGATCGAAATAAACAAAATACCTGTGTTTATGTATAGTTTTGCAAACATCAAAGGCCATCAGAGTATCAGTTTCAGAATGTTGATTATATGTGAACAAGAGGCAAAAAGGAAAAACAATAAGTGTTTTAAGACGTTAAAGTATTTTTCATGGTAGTACCACAGTGATCATATTATCTGTAAAACATATAATCAAAACAAATAACAAAAATATCACAACTCAGTGGTATATGCTTTCAGAGACATACATTGATTTATAAGTAATAATAATTTTAAGTAAGCACTGTTTCTAAACAATTTCTGCTGTTTCTGTTTTGTTATTCTCCTTAGATGAGGACTCATATAATCCAATTATTCAACATCTTCCTCCAAACAGATACTGATCATAACAGTGAACATGAAGTCTCTGTAAAATACTGGGGTGCAATACTAAAATACTTACAAGAAATGCAAACAAGACAACACCATATCATGTTTCTCAGAGTTACAAGTGATTTAAATTTCATAAACTAAGAATGTTTCTATAAATCACTTATTTTTGTGTTTCTAGGTAATATTTTATCATGTCCCCCTCCTCCCCTGACCAGCACTAGGGAATGAAACGATGGTTATTCTACCACTGAACAACATTCCCAGCTCTTTTTTTAAATTTTGAGACAGGGTCTCCCTTTGTTGCCAAGGATGGCCTTAAACTTTTGTGGATTGCAGGCATATGCCATCCTGC